TATAATCCCCACTGAAGGATATATGGTACCAGGAAGTGATGAGGAAGATAAATGAAATAAAGTAGTATATCACTTTAAAATTATTTAATAGTAACAAGTAATAACAATATTAAAAAAACAAAAAGGCTATAAGAAATAACACTTTACGCGTTTCGCCAATTCGGCTTCATAGAAGTGTAAAATAAATGTCCTCGAGTTCATCCTTTATTTATACAACTCACATGAATGGGAATGCCTTCCTGGTGTGTCGTGGAACGCATGCAGCAAAAAACCGGAAGCAACGCGGCGTCCACGTGTGTGTAGATACCCACCGTGGAACGCACGCGTCTGGCCGGAAGTGACGCGGCGTTACCACAGGCAGTTCAAGTACGTGCGTTCCAACAGTGGAACGCATAATATTCGTGGCATGTTCTTATATTCATAGAAGTCTTTCGCGGCAATCAGAGATGACGAAAATCCTCTTTTCAAATAGAACCAAATGGCAGGAAATGTAGATTCGTAAAAGTCTCATAAGCATTGTCCAAAATTAAGTTCAGATGTTTGTTCCATATATACCAGCATGTGGATCCAATTACATTAAAAAAAAGGCAAAAGGATACAAAAAAACAACATCAGACATAGAACAGTATCCATCTTTAAATAAATATAAATGAATATGCATATATGAATATATAGGGATAATATATTAAAGATAATATAAAGTAAAAAAAAAAAAAAACTAAAATAAGTATGAATAAGACTTATATCTAAAAATAGAGATATAAAAAATACCCTTAAAGATTACTGAAAATAAAATAGGATATTTATAAAAAAACAATAATGCATAAAAAATGATTGATTATTATAAAAGCACAAAGATCAAAAGGGAGGACCCAGGGATGGAATGTATTCAAGTTGGATAGGAAACTAAATGAGAATTATAAAGTATTATAAAATATTATTATAAAAAATTAAACAAATCAAATTCTACATTTAGACCGTCCGGGTGTAAAGTATTCATATTGTAAACCCATTCCATCTCTGTACGTCCAATCTTTTTGATGTGATCGCCTCCTCTCCAATGAGGTTTTACAGTGGTGATACCAATAAAAGTGAGATTACTGGAATCGTTATTGTGCATGCAGAAGTGTGAAGAAACAGAATGATTTTTAAAACCTTTTTCTATGTTTCTACAATGTTCAGCTATTCGTATTTTTAAAGGTCTAATAGTTCGTCCTATATATTTGAGGCCACAAGGGTACTCCAATAAATATATTACATTTTTGCTGCTGCATGTGATTATTTCTTTAATGTTGTAGGTCTTACCATTATTATTTGATTTAAAGTTACTTCTCAATTTAGGCATAGATTTAGTTTTTTGGCAGGCAACACATATGTTACATTATTAAAAACCTTTTGTCTCATTTAAAAAATTGGCCCCTGTGTTTTTTTTTTCCCGGTTTAGTATAGTTTTTTGTGAGGTGCATCTTTAAATTTGGTGCTCCCCTAAAGACTATTTTTGGTTTATCTGGTATTAAATTTTTTAAAATAGCATCTTCTTTTAGTAAATTCCAATGTTTATTAATAATTTTTTTAAGTTCTCTATTTTTATTATTATATTCTAATATAATGGGTAATGATATATTTTGCTTCTGAATTCTTTTCTTAGTTAGCAATTCTTTCTGGTTAATTGACAATGCCTGGTTAAAAGTAGATTGAACTGTGTCTTTATTATATCCTTTTTGTAAAAACTTTCTTTAACTGTTTCGGCTTGTTGCTTAAAAACAGGAGTTTCTGTGCAGTTTCTCCTTAATCTGAGCATTTGACTTTTTGGAATGCTCTCTAGCCATACTTTATTATGACAACTTTTTGTGTCAATATAGTTGTTGACATGAACTTCTTTGAAATGAGTTTTAGTGTAAATTTTTTTATCTTTAATGTAGATGTTCAAGTCTAAATATGTGATCTGTGTGTCGCTTATTTCTGAAGTCAGAACTATCCCCTCCTGGTTGGTATTTAAGAAGGAGATAAATTCCCTAGCTTCAGTAGAAGATCCTTTCCATATAAAGAGAAGGTCATCTATATATCTTGACTAGGACACCAGGTTTTGCGTCCAGCCATGCCCCCTCCTCCCATTCGGCCTTATAGAGGTTGGCATAGCTGGGCGCAAACCTGGTGCCCATAGCATTACCTCTTTTTTGTAGGTAAAAAACGTCTTTAAACCAGAAATAGTTGTTGTTAAGAATTAGATCTATACCTTCAACTTAAAATTCTATTTGATCCTGTGGCATTGTGTTTTCTCTTTCTAAAATGGTTCTCACTGCTTTACAACCTTGGTGGTGTTGGATGATGGTATATAAGGACTGAACATCACAAGTGATTAGCAAAAAGTCATTTTCCCATTGGATATTATTTAACTTGTTTAGTAGATCGATAGAGTCTTTAAGGTATGATTTTGTTTTTACGTCATAAGGTTGTAATAAAATGTCTATATGTTCGGATAGATTGGAGAACAAAGATCCAATACCGGAGACTATCGGTCTACCAGGGGGGTTGGTTAAGTTTTTATGAATCTTAGGGAGGAAATAAATAACGGGGATTCGAGGATGTTGGATATTAATATATAAAAATTCATTTTTATTGAGAATGCCAGATTTTTTTCCTTCCTCTAAGAATGTTTGAAACTTTTGTTTAATCTCTAGCGTTGGATTGTTGTGAAGTCTTGTGTATGTGTTGTCATCGTTTAATTGTTTATAGGCTTCAGTTTCATATTGTTCCTTTGATAAAATCACAAGACCCCCTCCCTTATCTGCAGGTTTGATTACAATAGAGTCGTCATTATATAGCTCTTTCAATAATTTCCTCTCATGTTTATTTAAGTTGGGTTTATTGATATATTTATTATTTCGTTCTAAGATTTTTAAATCTTTATGGACCTTACATTCAAATATATCTAATGCGCTGGATTTTAGATGGGCTGGGTAGAAAGTAGATTTCTTTTTTAGATTGCTTCTTATATAGTCTTTATCTGTATTGATATCTGTGGTAGTGTATGTACTTTCCTGTATATTCTGTGTAGCTGATGTTTTTGAAGCAAATAATCTTTTGAGGGTGGCATTTCTAACAAATTTGTTTATATCAATATAGGTTAAAAACAAGTTATATGTTCTAGTAGGGGCAAATTTTAGGCCCCCTTTTAATATATTTATTTGGGATTTGTCTAAAACTTTGTTAGAAAGATTAAATATACCTGTAGGGGAGGCATCATTTTTTGTTTTTAGAATCTTTCTTTTTTGTTCTCTTCTCCCTGCTCTTCTACCTCTAGGATTCTTTTTCTGCTCTTTATGGGTGTTATATTCAGACAGTTGGTGTTCCTGTCTTGACTGAATGGAATCTCTAAAAAAGAGGTTTCATCAAATTGTTCACAGAATGATAGGGCTTGATATTTATTTTTGGTGATTATTTCATTCGGTGAGTTATGTTTCTGATTTGCATATTTGTTGTGTCTGTTGTGATTTACCTTTTCCCAAGAATTGTCTTTATCCCTAGATTTGTGTGCTGGAGAACTAGGTATATGTGTATATTTGTGTGTTTTTGGTCTAACTACCATGGGTGATTCATTCTGATTGTGAAGTCTCTCTTTTCTTTGATTTCTCGTATTATCAATTCTGTATGTTGATTCTTTAGTTTTAAAATCTGTAGGTTTGTAATACATCTGTCTAGGTTTATTATAAAAGTCTCCATTAGTGGTGTTGTGAGTCTTAGTGTCATTTGTGGTGATAAATCTATCTGTAAATTTACGTGGTGATCTTTTCCAATAATGTGGATATTCAGATCTCCCATTGTCGTCTCTGCTTTGAAGACGTTTAGGTCTGAAATTCTTTTTATTTTCTTTGTTTTGATTGTATGGATAATTTGTATTTCTCCATTTTTGCTGTCTCGGTGCTCTTTTTGTGTTATAAGTGCGTATTTGATTATTTTCATAATCATGCTTGTCTCTGTTGTATTTGTTTTTTTTTTAATTTTTCTGATATCTGTTTCTGGTTTTTTTCACTGTCCTTTTGATATTCTGTGTTTGATTAAAATATTCTTCTGTATCTGCAAATGGGATTAGTTGGTCCCTTAGACTATAAATTTTTTTGTCTAAATTAAGCAATCTTTCGCTCTTAACCTAAATCATGCAAAACTCTAAGTGGTTAAACCACTCTTCCATGAAAATTTTATCTGTATCTGATGTTGGCATTTTGAAAAGCCTAAGACCTCTCGGGGTGATTTTATCTTCAACATATTTGCTAAGGGTCGCAATTAGGGATCGACCGATTATCGGTTTTACCGATATAATCGGCCGATATTCGGTATTCTCGGCAATATCGGTATCGGCCAATTCAGATACCGATATTGCCGATAATACCTCCTAGGACCGCCGGGCTCATTACAAACCCGGCGGTCCTGGGGGGGCGGAGAGCAAGCGCTTACTCACCTCCCAGCAGCTCCTCCAGCTCCCCAATGCAACTCTCGCGAGACCCGCGGCCTTCCGAGCGTTGCCATGGATCACCATGGCAACGCTCCGCGCGACACGCTGGCCGCGAGAGTTGCATTGGGGAGCTGGAGGAGCTGCTGGGAGGTGAGTAAGCGCTTGCTCTCCGCCCCCCCAGCTCAGCCAATACCACCAGGGACTGTCATATCCCCCCTCCCTGGCCAGGTAACAAGCAGGGAGGGGGGACAACAAAAATAAATAAGAATTAATTATACTTTTTTTTTAAAATAATTTAATAAAAAATGCCCCCTCACACACTGCATTATATACACATACACTACACAAACACACTGTGTATATAATACAGTGTGTGTTTGTATAGTGTGTGTGTGTGTGTTTGTATACAATGCACACAAATACACTGCATTATATACACACACTATACAAACACACTGTGTATATAATGCAGTGTTTGTGTAGTGTGTTTATATAATGCAGTGTGTGTTTGTGTAGTGTTTATATAATGCAGTGTGTGTTTGTATAGTGTGTTTATATAATGCAGTGTGTGTTTGTATAGTGTATGTATATAATTCAGTGTGTTTGTATAGTGTGTGTGTTTGTATAGTGTGTGTGTATAATGCAGTGTGTGTTTGTGTAGTGTGTTTATATAATGCAGTGTGTGTTTGTATAGTGTGTGTATATAATTCAGTGTGTTTGTATAGTGTGTGTGTATATAATGCAGTGTGTGTGTTTGTATGGTGTGTGTGTATAATGCAGTGTGTTTGTGTAGTGTGTGTGTGTATATAATGCAGTGTGTGTGTTTGTATAGTGTGTGTGTATAATGCAGTGTGTGTTTGTATAGTGTGTGTATATAATTCAGTGTGTTTGTATAGTGTGTGTATATAATGCAGTGTGTGTGTTTGTATAGTGTGTGTGTATAATGCAGTTTGTGTAGTGTGTGTGTATAATACAGTGTGTGTTTGTATAGTGTGTATATAATTCAGTGTGTTTGTATAGTGTGTGTGTATATAATGCAGTGTGTGTTTGTATAGTGTGTGTGTATAATGCAGTTTGTGTAGTGTGTGTGTATAATGCAGTGTGTGTTTGTATAGTGTGTGTATATAATTCAGTGTGTTTGTATAGTGTGTGTGTGTATATAATGCAGTGTGTGTGTTTGTATAGTGTGTGTGTATAATGCAGTCTGTGTTTGTGTAGTGTGTTTATATAATGCAGTGTGTGTTTGTATAGTGTGTGTATATAATTCAGTGTGTTTGTATAGTGTGTGTGTATATAATGCAGTGTGTGTGTTTGTATAGTGTGTGTGTATAATGCAGTGTGTGTGTTTGTATAGTGTGTGTGTTTATATAATGCAGTGTGTGTTTGTGTAGTGTGTTTATATAATGCAGTGTGTGTTTGTGTAGTGTGTTTATATAATGCAGTGTGTTTGTGTAGTGTGTTTATATAATGCAGTGTGTGTTTTGTGTAGTGTGTTTGTGCAGTGTGTGTTTGTGTAGTGTGTATATAATGCAGTGTGTGTGTTTGTGTAGTGTTTATATAATGCAGTGTTTGTGTAGTGTGTTTATATAATGCACACTACACAAACACACTGCATTATATACACACACTCTGCATTATATAAACACACTACATTCACTATACACACACTACACAAATACACACACACTCTGCATTCATTATATACACACACACTTTGAATTTAGTATATACAGCATTCACTTTACGCACACTACCCACACACTCTGCTTTCATTATATACACACTACACTAATACACACTGCATCCCCTACACAAACACACATTGCATCCACAACACACACACTACACAAACACACACTGCATCCACTACACACACTACACAAACACACACAGCTCCCCTGTCACACTGCATTCACTGCACGTTGCATGTATATTTTGTGCATTTACCTTTAGAAATAGTTTTTATTTTCCAAAATGGTAAATGTACAGAATATCGGCAAATTATATCGGCTATCGGCCTGAAAGTTCACAGAATATCGGTATCGGTATCGGCTCTAAAAAATCAATATCGGTCGATCCCTAGTCGCAATTTCCCATCTTAGCTTCATTTCTTTAATCAGGGAAAACTCTAGTTCTCTTAGTAGTTCTTTGGGGTCATCGAACGTAATTAACGGTTCATTATTTTCTACCATATCTAGATCGTTAATGTCGTTAAAAATATCATTTAGATCAATGTTATAGTTATCTCGATATTCAAATAGTGTCATATTGATTGAGTTTTGTGGAGCACCCCAACTGGGAAGTGGTATAACAGAAAGAAAAGAGAGGTGTGTCGGGTGCTCACTTCAAAAGAGAGAAAAAAGATAAGCAGCAGTAACGAATGCAAGGATTCCCAGCCTTGTAAGGAAACAATATGAAAGAAAGGAAAGAAACTGCGCTCTAAATTAGTTTTGAAGTTTTATGTGATGCGAATGGGAAATGTTCGGTTATTGTAAAGTTATATATTTTTATGTATTTTCTAATGTTATATTTAAGATGGCGATTTGTCTTTGTCCTGGAGATAATTGAATTACTGCTCAATTATCTCCAGGGCAGAGGGGGGGAAACCATAGAGCATTGTGGGTAAAAGCTGTGACTGTATATCTGGAATGTCTTTATGTCCATCTGTAATTCCAGTCTCCCATTTGGTCCCCTAGGGGAGTATCCACCAAGTGGGAGACCTGCATAAATACGGGCAGGTAGCCCACAGTAAAGCCAGATCCTGTTTGACCCTCAATGCGGAGCTTTTGTCTCGTTATTGGGGGGATTTCTTCTTTGCGTTTAGAGACTGCTGGATGGAACCGAAAGCCGCTTGGTGGATATTGTTGTTCGGCGGCTAGCAGCAGTTCTTGGATTTCCGTTCGGGAGTTTGGAGCCTTTCACGGATCCCGTTCGGGAGATTACTGCTTCCCCTGGGTATGGTTCGTGGATTATAATTAATGCGAACGGTTTACGGAATTGCGAAAGGGGAAGGTGAACTAAACGGCGGTTTCCCTTAAAGACACCAGGGGTGTCTTAACACCGTGTATTCCTGTAAAACTGGGGCAGGGGGGCCGTTAGTTAGGCCACATGGCTTAAACATAACGTGGTGGGTTTGCCCAATATGCCGTGTGGCTGGTTGGGTGCAGTCCAGACCCAAGATGGAGTGGGGTGTACTTACTGTTACCATTGTCCTTAAGAGAACATAGTTTGTCTGGGTCTACACCGCTCTGTAGGTGTCATAATATAACGTGTGCAGAGGTCCTGTCAATGTCGGAGAGTCCTGTATGCTATGGTGGAAGGCCTTCATTCTTCAGGGTTATCCGGCCACACCCTGCCTCTTCAGGATGATGCCCCATTGTGGTGGTGGTGCTGGTACGGCTTCCCCGGCATGAGGTGTTTGCAAAGGCGGCCGCTCACGTTTGGGAGTCCAAGGGCCCTCAGGAATCCAGGCACATTGTTCGGCCAGCATAGGGTGTGCCAAATATGATCATTTCTGGCCTATAGGCTGAATGGGAAGCCCCACTTGTAGGGGATCCTCTTTTCTTGGAGCATGCATGTCATGGGTCTCAGGGCCCTCTGTTGCTTGTCTGCCTTGGTGAGCATGCTTGCCGGGATGGCTGTTAACTCAGCAGAGATTTGTGTCAGCGTGTTACTCCTCACAGGGAGTCAGCCATTCTATCTGAGCCTGGAGATGCCGACACCATTTTGCCTGGCTGACGCGCGTTGCTGGTTCCATCCGGAGTAGATACTAAATCATCCAAATCATCCATCGTGGGGAACTCGTACGGGGGGATCCAGGGGTCATTGTACACTTGGTTTTCCCCATTGGAGGCGGCTGAAAAGCTTAGGTAAGGGGCTATGTGGGCTTAAGACACAAAGCCTCTAAGAAATGTGTCCTACTCCATTAGCTGGTAGGCCACGCCCCCTGTACATATCTTTTATATCCATTTTGTATCCTCATTGTTGCACATAGCAGTTGTTGTGCCTATATGATTTTTGCCAGCAGTCAGCTTATGGGGGAAACCTTTCCAGTTTCTTCTAGACTGTGCTACAGGATGGGGTCTCAAAGTAAAATCATTTTTAAATATATGCTACTATAACAATTATCTAGCCAATAGGTGATATCCATTTTTCATTAATAGGAGAGGATCACAACTTTTTGCTATTTGTTCAAGAATGGAAATATAAAACACTTCAAGCCCTGTTACCAGGCACGTTGATTTCAGAATAAGGATGGCATTGGTCAGAGAGTCCAGTGCCAACCTATGCCCCAGCTTGGGGATGAGTGAAGGCCGTCTGTGTGTTGTTCAATGCAGGAGCTGAGCGGGGAACAAATCACACTCCGCTGGGTGAAGGACTCGGAGAGCGGCCGTCTCTCCTATGCTCACGCTTGTGTAGGCCACAAGCCTGATTAGTGGTCATTGGTTTGCTACATATTGTTCATGTTGAGATTTGGGATTGGCAGCAAGATATTGGCTGCCATACAAATTAGTTTGCAAAGGCATAAACTCAAACATGCCATCTGTTCTAAACAGGCTAAAATTATTTTAGGTTTACAATTCTTAACACAGGTAGTGATTCCAGGGATTGCAAAAAAAAAATAAAAAATGAGAGAATTGCAGTGACACTTAAATTTGACACAATGCTGCATTCTGAGCTCCTTCAGGGTGGTGCTATGGTAGACACAGATAAACATAAACACATTCATATAGACACCAACACATACATACATCTTAGCACACACTTACACCAACATACACATGCACCCTGACACATGCACACACCATGATACAGATATCCACACTGACATATAAACACACACAATGACACACATTTGTATATTCTGACACAGATGTGTGTGCACGCTGACACAGAAGCACACTGACATATAAACACACTCACACAGACACCCTGACACACACAAACACACCAATTATATTTTTAATATCTCCAGCCACTCTTACTTTGTGTGTCCAGGATTGGAGTCCTGCTGCTGCTGGTGGGAGTGAGGGGTCTGGAGCTCTTCATGCTCCTCTCTCCTAATGCTGTGGCTGCCTTCTCTCCCTCCCATACTGTCTCTCTGCATGACACTGGGAGGAAGTGACAGGCTGCCACTTCCTCCCAGCCTGCCGGCATTGCAGATGCCTGGTCGCGTTCTTAAAGGTCTTAAACAGTAATGTTTCCCAGGTGCTATAATTATACATTCAGCGGCACCCCTATGTGCCTGGCACACAGTTTGGGAACAGCTGTGCTAGATAATGAGAACTTAAGAGGTCACAGTCCAAATAAACAAAGAGGGGCTTAACTGAAGCTTCTCCCACGAAGGAAGGTCACTGTTCAAACATAAACAAGCATTTTAGGTACCCTGTCGTCTACAATTGGCTCAATTGCATAAAAAAAAAAAGGCCAACCTGCGTACATTGCATGTGATATGTTCCATATACACATACATTTATTGTAATACTAATTGTTTTATTTACTTTTTTTTTTTTGTGTGTGTGTGTGTAAATTTCTAGTTAAATATATGAATGCCTTGTATATTCTGAGATATGAAATTTGTATCATGTAATACCTTTTTTATTGGACTAACATAATTTTTTAATGGTTTCCAACGGGGACATGTATATGTATATGTACATGCGTTTGCATATACATATTTACGTGTGTATGTATAAAGTGTACCATCTTCTGCACTGTCTGCTTGTTTGTTTTTCTGCTCCCTCTCTACCCTCACTCTGCTCTTCAGAAAGATATTTATGACCCTCTGCAAACATGGTGTCTATTTTCTAACAAACCTGTGTCTTATCTGCACTCATGTTGCTTTAACCACTGTATCACAACTCAACTTTGAATTATATGTGTCGTCTTGCTCAGAAATGCTTCAGACTTGAGAAAGGGAGGTTCTCCCGAAAGCTTGACATTTAAAAAAAAAAATAAAAAAAAAAAATGAGTCCAATAAAAAAGGTATTGCAAGATACAAATGTTATCTGTTTTTTTTTTTTGTTTTTTTTTTTGGACTAATACGGCTACAATCTCTACTTGAACACTATATATATATATAATTTATTTAAGTATTATTATTTTTTTTTTTTTTGTGACATTATTATGTATTTATTTTATTTTAGATCATAACCTTTACCGTTGGAAACCACCCTACAAGGACCAACCCTTTCCCAGCATTTGAATATGTGGTTGTAAAAGTAATTTGTGCTCCTCCTATTCGCTTTTCTCTGAGTCCAGTGTATAAACATGCTCACATACAGATGATGTGTCCCTTGATGCAACAAAACAGCCAAGTGGTATGTTT